CTCTGCCTCCCGAGTGCTGGGATTAAAGGCGTGCGCCACCACCGCCTGGCCCTTTAGCTAATCTTAACTAGACATTTAGAAGATGTAGATACTCTTAAGACTTCATACTTAAGGATATATTTTCCACTTTAGTTTGGAGTGTATATGCTCTGCAAATTACATTTCAGTTCTGTGCTGTAACAACCACATGTAAGTTATAGAACCTGAAGCCGAGCCTTTAAATGGCCTGGAGCACCAGCTGTTTTGTGCCGTCAGGTTGACCAAGGTGATTATTAGTAAATGTTTGCCCTGCTCCTGTTTACTGCTCCAAAGAAACACAGTAGAGCGGAAACACTGGTGTTCCTGACAGCAACAGTGTGCTGGCCCCGTGTGGTGTGGGAGGGTTCTGCCCCAGTGTTGGAAGACTGATGGATCTGTGTCTCTGAGCTTGGCTGGGACAGCCAGACAAGTATAAAACAAGCAGAATGAAAACACTGTAAAATATATAATAATCTCTTAGGGTGAATGATATGCATCATACAACTCTAAGAAATGTAGATAAAGTCAAGTTGGTCTAGAATAATATTAAATAGCATGACCTGGGGCTGTATTTTGAGTGGCATGCGTGCTATATAATGCTTTGGGTTCAATCTCTGATATCATATACACGAAGACCAAAATACCTTAAAGAATTATAGGGATTTTAAAAATTAGTAAAGATATTATTGGAGATTTTAGTGATAAGGAGCATTTGAAAACCATCTAAAAACTAGGTAAATAAGTAATTAATATTACACTTTGGTTTATATAGGACAGGAATGAGGGCAGATAAAAGTGAGCTTGGTGTGGGTTTCAAAGGAACCCAAACAAACGGGATGTGGTTTGGGGGTGGGGTGCTATGTGACGATCCAGGAGACAGTCTGGGCAAGGCCCTGAGACACTTGATGAAGATTCATCTGGCAACTCTTCGATGAATTGGAGCGTGGAAAGCTTCCAAATGAATGGACTCCTGTTCTTGATCTTGTCCACAGGAGTTATCCAAACACTAGAAATGCATGCTCAGAGCCTGATACCTTAGCACGAGAGTGTCTGAAATGGAACGCAGCTCTTCTCCAAGGAGGCTGTGCAGTGTTTTGTCTTTTAAGTTCATAAATCATGGGGACCAGTGCTGGCGGTAGACCATAACTCAACCGTGGACAGATTGCTCTTCGCTGCTTTCTTTTAAGAAGCGGGTTATAAAACTGTTGGGAGCCTGGTGGGATGGTTTATAGATCATCTTAAGTAATTCGAAGGATCTTTTGTTTAAACACAGCCTGTGTCCTGGAGACAGGAGGCAGTAGTTTAGTACGAAGCGCATGCCCCTCTGACTTTGCCACCTTGTGGGCCTGCTCTATCATCTGCTACCCTGAGTGGGTGGACGTCTACCTTTGTGGGAGAGACGCTGCAGGTGCCCCACAGGGGACTGTGATCCTTCAGTGCTACAGGTTCCCATCAGTGCAGCATTCACATCATGACACTATTTTTCACTAAAATGGGTCTGTACTTTACCAATGCTTATGTTCTAAAATACCTCACCTCCTGCTAATCTACTTTGACTGTAAACCTTGGGTACTGTCACAGAGTGCCAGGATGGCTCTTCATTCATGGGTCTGTCACCTTGGAAACACTGTCACAAGGAAACCAATAGTATGGGGCACCTGCTTGTGGGTAGGCAGGCAGTTGCTCATAGACCAGAACACAGCTGAACCAGGGCATGAGCATGAGAAGGCCTCTGACCCAGGAGTGGTTCAGATTAGCAGATCGCTATCACTTGAAAGATGATAAAGAGCTTCTCCTAATGACTTTCTTTTCATCTCTGGACGTCAGCCCCCAAAGCTCCTGGGTTATAGCTTTGTTGGTCACAGTTTATAATAGGCCTAGCCGGGCAATGATAAGGTGCTAAGTTAGCCAGACACTTAAAGGAGCGTCTCTTTTTGATGGATGGAAGATGTTTTCAGATGAACTGGGAAATGTAATTTTTACAGCTTGGAGATTGTTCTGTGATCTGGGCTTTAGAGGAGATGTGGCCTGTCAGTTCTAAAGCTTGCATCTTGCTTCTTTCAGACCACCAAGGCCTTTCTTCCGACAATGCTGGAGATTAATCATGGCCACATTGTGACCGTCGCCAGCTCCCTGGGACTGTTCAGCACTGCTGGAGTTGAGGTTTGTCAGCTCTAAAGCATTTTCTTTATTCACACAGTTTGTCTTGCAGTGAACACATCACAAGAGACCTGCTTCCACACCGTCTGTCTGGTCAGCCAGCGGTGTTTCCCTCTAACACAGGACCGGCTGTGGAGGAGCAGTCCTCCTCCCTGCCATAAAATTACCGGGACCAATTTACCTAGTTGTCACAGCATAGAAGGGACAGGCCGGTGCTCACAGAGCCCATTTTCATTAGCAGCCTTGCTGGATGGAAGAAGGCACAGGGTCGAGAACGGACCCATGCAGTGACGTGGCAGTGTGGGGAGAACGGATAGGTGAGACCAAAGGCTCACGTTCTGTTTTGGTGCACAAAAGTGAACTAAGTGAGCTGCCTGCGGCTCGTTCAGTAGATGAGGTGCCTGTGGCCAGGGCCAGGTGCTGTCTAATTGTGTAGAACTGGGCTTCTTAACCCATTCTCAACCGTGTTCAGATTATAAAACATCTTCACACATTGTTCCCCAAGACTTGGCCTACAGATGCCTAGAAAATTGAAAACAGCACTTCTTGCAAATATGTCAATATTTCTGTATCATGTGCTCTTGAGTTCTGGTTGAAGTTCAGAAGATGTGGTGGCTCTTGTGTTTTAACTTTAGATCATAATAGCTTATAGCCCAAGTTAACTTGGCTTTGTTCTCCTTGTGTTAAGGTAAACAAGCAGGTTTTTCAGTCTCCTTCACTAAACAAGAGGCCATTTGTAAAGTTTCCAGGCACTTCAAAGGGAAGCTCCCTGCGTTTTTTTCACTGCAGCCTTTCAGCTTTCATAGAACCCTTCGCAGTGACTTCCCCCAAAGTAACATGATACTTGGTTGATGTGGCAAAAAGCCTTCTTCTGTTTCTGTTATTGCCTGAAAAATGTTGTTTCTTTTCTGAACCACATCAGATAGAGGTCCTTTAAGACAATTTCCTTCTCTTGCTTCGTTACCTATAACCTTTTGTCATGAACATCTAACTAAACGGGACCAGGAAGCTGCAGATCAGTTGGGAACATGTGCGTAGACTCAGCATTTCTGTTCTCTCTCTCATCTTGCTCAGGATTACTGTGCCAGTAAATTTGGAGTTGTGGGTTTTCACGAATCTCTGAGCCATGAGCTAAAGGCTGCTGAAAAGGATGGAATTAAAACAACTTTGGTTTGCCCTTACCTTGTAGACACAGGCATGTTCAGAGGCTGCCGAATCAGGTCAGTGGAAACCCATCTTCTTACTGATATGTGCTGATATATTGTGTACCCTAATAAAATTTGCCTGAAGATCAGAGAACAGAACAAGCCACTAGATAGAGGCCAGGTAGTGGAGGCACATACCTTTAATCCTAGCACTTGGGAGGCAGAGATCCATCTGGATCTCTGTGAGTTCAAAGCCACCCTGGACTACATGAGATTGACTCATGACTCTAAGAGAGAAAACAGAGCCAGGCAGCAGTGGCACACACCTTTAATCCCAGCACTGGGAAGCACACAGGCCTTTAATCCCAGGAAGTGATGGCTGGGCAGAGAAAGCTACATAAGACCTGAGGAGACAGGAGCTAAAGGTTCTTTGGCTGAGGAAGCCCTTTCAGCCAGGGGCCCTTTCAGGCTGGGGAGCTGGTGACGGAAGAGGTGATGGCCGTGGCTTGCTCTGATTCTTTGATCTTTCAGCTTTCACCCCAATATCTGGCTCGGGATTTTTTTATTGAAAGACCTTTGGTGATTTTGTTACACTGATACAACAGAGTAACATTGGGAAGATGTGTGGGGTTGATGTTCAGCCACTTTAACTGTCAGTAGAGGATCAGCCTGAGCTGAGTGGTGGCACACGTCTGTAATCCCACAGCACTTCTTGAGGGGCGGGTGGGGGCAGGAAAATTGTCCCAAGTTGGAAACCAGACTAGTCTACATGGTGAATTCCGGGCCAGCCAGGGCTACAAAGCGAGACCTAGCTAAGAGACAGAAGTTCTCCAGTTAAGGTCTGTAACGTGGATGTCTAAGACTGACAAGTGAGGGTTTGATGCCATGCTGGGATTAATTCCGAGAATCAGACAGGAATGGGCATCTCTCCATCTCTGGGAGGATGTACAAATGCCCAGGATTTTTCTTAGAAGCTACACCATTGCGAGTTATTTTATTTCTCTACTATTAGTGTTGGCAGATGATGGCTCCAGGAGAAAAGTCCCTAATGTGACTTTAACCTGGATATAAAACAGTATCACCGTCACAAAGGATTAACATGCCTCTTTTTCTAAAAAGACTGAATGTCACACTACAGATTTGAAAGTTTTTTTTTCTTTTCTCTAGCAAGTGCATATAGCTAAGATGAAATCATTTAGGGCTACTAACAATAAAATGGAATCCTCTCACACTTGAGAAGGAGGCATATGGGAATATAAATACCTAACCATTGGGTTTTACCTGACAGGCTTTCAACAGAGTAAACGCAACCATGAATCAGCAGAGACACTTGTTGACATGGAGAGCTTTGCTTGGGTGAATTTGCAAGGCAAAGGACAATAGGCAAGTCCCCCTGTTTGTTGGGGACTGTTCTTAATGAGCCGAACAAGTGATGGAGAGTGGTTTGAGTCATTTCAGTCTCCTACTGGCACTGAGTCTAGACTGAGAAATTAGCTCTAGGGCCTGGGATGTGGCTCAGTGTTGGAGCATGTGCTTAGCATGTGCAAGGCCAGGGTTTGGCTCCCAGCTCAAAAAGGAAAATGAGAGAGAGACAAGAAATTGAATTCTGGGTCTGCCTCTCATCCTTGCCTGTGCCTGTGTTGTGCCTGTGTGCCTGTGCTGTGTGAGTTTGGTTCTGCATGGGAACCTGTCGCTGAGGGCCCTGTTTTCCATTTAGCAGAGTGGCAGGTGCAGAGTTCCAAAGCTGTGATGAGACAATGAGTGGTAAGAAAGCAGTGGCTGTGTGAGGTATTTAACGTGCGATTTACCGCATTAAAATGAAGGGGGTCCTTAGACTATAGCTAGGCAGGCCTCTGCCAGCCTCGTGAAGTGTGGCTCTGGCAGTTTCATACTAGAAAAGGCAGCAGAGTTGCTTATGCACAGTTTTAGCCCTGTCTAGTAGAGAAAGCTACACCACTTGATAGAGTTTAATGTTTGTGATAACAAGTACCTCCTTTTTTATTCAAAGAAAGCATCAGAATGATTTGAAATGCATCTTAAAAAGCATCTCAACAACCGAATCTCTTTTTACAGAAGAGTCAACTTATTTTGCTTATTTTTCTCCTGATTTATTTACTAGATGATAAAAATGAAGTGTGTTTATAATAAGAAAATGTGAGGCAAAACAAAAATACCATGAAGAAAACAAAATGTTCAGAAAATCTTGTCCCTCAATTCACATCACAGTATTTTGCTGTATTGTTTTCAGTCTTCCATATTGTGTTAATTCTGAATTTCGTTTTTTAATACAAAATTCCAGAAAAGAAATCGAGCCCTTTTTGCCCCCTCTGAAACCTGATTACTGTGTGAAGCAGGCCATGAAGGCCATCCTCACTGACCAGCCCATGATCTGCACCCCCCGCCTCATGTACATCGTGACCTTCATGAAGAGGTAAGTGAGGGGCCCTGCCCTGCCTGCCCCAGACCTGAGGGAACGCATGGCCTGCCCTTTGCTAACTCTGCCTTTCCTTTGCAGCATCCTTCCCTTCGAAGCAGTTGTATGCATGTATCGATTTCTAGGAGCCGACAAGTGTATGTATCCCTTTATTGCTCAAAGAAAACAAGCCACAAACAATAATGAAGCAAAAAATGGAATCTAAGAGTGCTTTGTATGGAGTGCCCTTTCTGTCAGGGTGGTTCAGTCCATGCACATCAGCAGTACTGACAGCCTCTGGATTCTAACCCCACGTCAACTTTTTTTTCTAATCAACTTTTTAAAAAATAATAAAATGTAAATTAACTGACTAGGGTGCTTGAAAAATGTGAGCTTGGGTTTTTGCCAATGGGGCCTTTTTTAGACAGGGCCCTAAAAATGAGTCCAGTATTTAGATAAGCACTATGTGACATCATTATTTTTTTAATGAACAGAAAGTCTAGAAATGATGACTACAGTGTGTTTCATGTGTATGATTCTTCTGAATTCCCACAGAATTCACTCATTCATTCATGATTGTGAAAGTCTAGCCAGCTGGCCCCTTGTGCGTTTAAGGACTGACAGTGCCGTGTTTTGTCTTGGGTTCTGGGTTCCACTCATGCAAGTGTGGGTGGCTTGCTCATGGTGTCTGGGGGTTTAGCTCTGATAAAGGGGAATTTCTGATGTCAATTTGTGATCAGTGCTGTCTGAACATACAGCCAAGGCCAGAGGGTCTCTCTCTTACACTACTATGACTGAAATACTAGATGATTTTTAAATTCGATCCCTAGAATACTAAATTGAATGTTTAAAGACCTGATTAATCAAAAAGATTGTACATTTTCTACCTGTGAATTTTGCTGCATATATAAAGTGTCCTTTCCTCGGGGGGGTGGGGGGGATGCAGAGTCGCATTTGGGAGAGGGGGACCTTGTCGACAGAACACAGCAGCTCTACAAAGAAACTTTCTGAAAATGGGAATTTCTGCATTAAAAAGTACCCATGTTTGTGCCAACTCTGATTAGTGTGGGGAACAAATCTTGTATGGAGTATTGTGGAAGGCTGTAAAGATTTCTTTGAAAGGTTTATTCACATTGTAGAACAGCAAATGACATTTTTACAGTATTTTTTTGTAAAGCAAACTATTTTGTGCCTTGAATTTGGTATATGTGTATTAGTGAAACATTGTAAAAGTGAATCTCTACCTCTGTATCTACATGTGTACCATCCTCTTGTAAATGACTATGAACTATTATGTGATTGCTTTTGTTTGTTTGTTTTAGGATGTCTTGTTTAAACAGTGACCAATGTTTAAGGCTATTAAAATAAGCCTACTTTTACTAATCGGGAGGTTTTCTAAAGGACTAATTAAATACTTACATAACTGACTCTGTGGTTATTAGCTGTTGGCAACATTATAAAGAAAAGCATTGTGGGTTTTTCCCCTCCTATCCTTTCCTGAGTTACTTAAAGAAAAATGTTTGGATGGGGTCACACTTGGGGTGGGTTTCATGTACTCCAATCTCAGTGCCGCCGTCTACCTATAGTAGGTACTTCATCAAGAGCTTGCTTACAGATGGGAAGAGAAGACTCTATGGCCTGTATCAGTGTCGGTCACTGTTTGGTGTCCCGTATTCTGGAACAGCCCTAGCTTGCACATTTGAATCTCTCTCTTCTCTCTTCTCTCTTCTCTCTTCTCTCTTCTCTCTTCTCTCTTCTCTCTTCTCTCTTCTCTCTTCTCTCTTCTCTCTTCT